TGTAAAAGGTTGTCTTGAGTTCCTAATCCTAACCCGGTGTCCCGACGAGTTTCTTGCTTATTTGTATTGCTTTGAAGGTTAACTTGAGGACTCAACCCATATCTAACGTCACGATGTGTGTCGTCAACCGAGTTATCTTGCTTCGGATTAATATATTGTGAAGGTAAAAGGTTGTCTTGAGATCTTAAACCGAATCCGGTATCCCGACGAGTGTCTTGCTTATTTTTATTAACATCGCTCTGATTACCGTTATCATCATCATCGTCATCGTCGTCATCGTCATAATTGAAAAAATTTTTCTTTTTCTTACGGGTTGTTTGGATCGGTATTCTAAGAAATTCATCAAATTCTTCATTTGAAACGGGTTTAGATGGTTTTTTTGAGTTACCTTTCAATTCTGAACTATTCTTTGTATCATGCGATTGTGAAAAAGAACTCATTAAATGACCAGGATCTGTGGAAGGTATCTGTCTATTAGCATCATATGAAAATCTCTGATTATGGAATTTGTTATCTTCGCTTAAATCACCTGTAATAGGTTGATTAAATTCAGGTAAGGAATTTCTTTTATCAATGACTTCGCGATTTTGTTTATCCTTGAACAAAGGGTTTTTATGGGGAGCCAGTTCTGTCAAATTTCTATTGTCCTCAAAATTATCCCTAGTCATTGGACTAATATAATGAACACTTTCTTTTTCTCCACCAATAATCATTGATTTGTCCAAGTTGGCCCTATCAAATACTTTTTCTCCAAAAGAAACTTGTTTAGCTTCACCAATATTAGATGATTTTTTCAGGTATTGATTCTCATTTACTTTTTCATAATAAGTGGGAACAACATTGGTTACGTCTTCTGGCCTGACTATAACCATTGAACCTTTATCCGAGTCTTCGCTATCTGACGATAGGAATTCCATCTTAAGCAAATCGTAATAAAAGATTTTTTTTTTTTTAAATTACCCAAGAAAAAAGAAAAAGATAAAAGTATGAAAAGTTCAAGTAAAACAATTGTGAACTATCTTTAAACCTTATCGCTATCAGACTGAATTTATATTATAGATAATATAAACTTGAATACTATTGTGTGAATTATTTTTTTTTAATCTTTCCATACCTGGTAATAAAATCCAATACAACCTAAATAAACTTTAAACAGGTTTTTGGGGGAGGCATACGCAGCAGTTACAATAGAAGAATAGGGTGAGAATAAACTTTTTCTTAAAAAGTTGACATTCTTTGTTTATGGGTGTGACTTTTAAAAGTTGGGCGTAAGTCTATAGGTTTATTTATCAGGACCAACATTTTAATTTCCTAAAAGAGTATTGTGTTTTATGGTTTTAAATCAATTTTGAAAAAAAAAAAAGATCCCTGCATTTGAGGTATTTTTATGATTTTTATTCTCATAATTGTGACAATTTACAAGAGACGTATACTAACTATTCATATCAGGATACCTTTTGTGGAAAAATTAGACAGCCCGATCATAAATAAAATCATGATATCATCTTTCCCAATGTTATTATAAATATACTAAATATACTCTGGATAAATAATAAATGACTCATGACCTTTTTGTACTGATAAATTTTCCCATGCTATTTATTACCTATGAAACTACTATGTATGGTTTTTTAAAAATCTGGTAGGAGTTAAGACTAAATTATATTAGTTATTATAATAAGTGTCACGTGATATATATATTGAAATTTATAATAATGTTACAATCTATTTAGTTTAATAGATTTAAAATAAAATATAATAAATTTAAAATAAAATAATTATTAATTTATTCAAGTATTAAATTTATATAAAAAAAAAAACAATTTTATAATATACAATTAAATATTTAATTTAATCAAATTAATTTAAATATTTTATTAAATTTAATTAAAATAAATCAATTAATTTATTTCTTTAAGTATATTACAGGCAAATTTGCTTGCAATTTTATTTAATAATTAAAATATTTTTAAATATTTTTAAAATAACTTATTTAAAAATTAATATTTTTATAATAAATTATAATATTTTTTAAGTAAATTTCAAAATAAATGTAATTAATTAGTGATATTTTAAAATAAATTTATAATAAATTATTATAAAATTTTAAACTTATATATCTTATTATCTATTAATCTTAAAAATATAAAGAATATAATCATTTAATAAATCTTAATAAGATGATGAATCCAATAAATTAAATTTTATTTTTTATAATAATTAAATAATAAATTATTTTAAAAAATTAAAAAATTAAAAAATTGATATATATTAATAATTACTAATTTAAAAATTTAAAAAGACTATCATTAGATATATCTTAATATAACAAATCTAAAAACTTTATTTTATCTTTTTATGATCATTAAATATTAAAATATTATAATTTTTCTACAATATTTTATAACTAATTTTATACCTATGATTTAAAGAATAATATATTATATTTAAAAATATTAAGTAATACAAAAAATTCTAATAAATTTATTAATTTTAAAAAAAGATTTTGTTTTATTAGCAATATATTTTTATTTTTTTAATAATAATGTATTAATAAAATATTTATTAAAATATAATAAATTTATTTAAAAATTTTAAAATTAGATTTTAAAAATTTAGGTACAATGCATTTATTGTATCTAAGAAATGATAGTTTTATCATTTCTTAATTACAATGCATTTATCATACTTAAGAAATGATGATTTTATCATTTCTTAGGTATGATAGTTTTATTGTGCTTAAGGAATAATGTTACCATTGTACTTTAGATACATTACAAGGTTCATCAACTTATCAAACAAAATGTGATTATATTATAAACAAAATGGTTAAACTAGCATCAGGGATTAAATGCCATACTTGAAGAGGTAAACAAGATGCTAAAACGCTCATATCTCCTATAAAGCTCAAAAATATTAGAAGATAGCTTAAATTCAATTTAATAATCTCATAAATATTATTAATTTTCAAATTCATTAATTAATTATGATTAAATAATATAATTATATTATTTAATTATAATCAGATTATTTAATAATAAAATAACCTAAATATAACTAAATAATCTAAATATAACTCAATAAAACTAAATATAACTAAATAAACTAAATATAATGAATAAACTAAATATTAAATAATTTAAATATAATTAAATAATTTAAAGTTAATAACCTAAATATATATAAATGATCTAATTAATTAATTTAAATATGATGATATTTTATACTTTCTTATTTTTTTCTTTATATTCTTTGCTTTGAAATCGCTTTTTTTTATCTTTTTCCTATTTATTATTTGTGATCATATGATTAAATAACCTAAATACAATGTTAGTGATAATCCGTTTGCGCAACTAAATGACTGCGCCAACTAGCGTCACCAATGATCACCAGGAAAATCGTGAT